AAATTCCTTGACATGGCGGTGTGTGGTGGCCCTTGATGCCTTGACCCCAGCCTCAGTCCATTCCTTGTGAAGTTCACCCACATTCTTGAATCGATTTTGCTTGACAAGCCTCTCAAGGCTGCGGTTCTCTCGGTTGGTTGTGCATCTTTTTCCTACCACTCAACTTTCTGTTAACATGCTTGGATACAGCACTCTGTGAACAGCCAGCTTCTTTGGCAATGAATGTTTGTGGCTTACCCTCCTTGTGAAGGTTGTCAATGATTGTCTTCTGGACAACTGTCAGATCAGCAGTCTTCCCCATGATTGTGTAGCCTAGTGAACCAAACTGAGTGACCATTTTGAAGGCTCAGGACACTTTTGCAGATGTTTTGAGTTGACTAGCTGAGTGGCATGTCACCATATTCTAATTTATTGAGATAGTGAATTGGTGGGTTTTTGTTAAATGGGAGCAAAATCATCACAATTAAAAGACCCAACAACTTAAACTACTTCATTCTGTGTGTACTGAATTTATATAGTACACGAGTTTCACTATTTGAGTTGAATTACTGAAATAAAGGGACTTTTCCACGATATTCTAATTTATTGAGATGCACCTGTATAACTGCAAAACATGCAATGCACTCATTCCTTTACCCAGTTAGCTCCAATTGTGTAGCCCCTGGCCTGCACTTCCCCAAGGTGCTCGGAGTAGAGCTCCTCCTCCTCCTCCTCCTCCAGGATGTCAGACAGGTCAGAGCGGCTGTTGTCTGGATGGTAGTCACTGGAAGGCTCCACCAGCCCTCTGCCATAACTCTGTCCAAAGATATGGAAACACCATCAAAACCTTCCAATGTGAAATTATTTTATAAAACTGTCATGAATTTTAAATTCTTATTAGGTGAGCCATTTAGTTAATACATAGAGTAAATACATGTATAAGCTTAACAATTACAGGTAGCAGATACAAAGCTGCACTGCAGTGTTTATTAGATGTATATGATTTGACTTTATATATTGAGTGACCCTCTGGCTTGGCCCAGTGTATCAACTTTTGGAAAACAGCTTTGGTAACAGCTCATTTGACTGTAATATGATGCAAATCTTTCTATGATTTAAACTTTATCTACAGTATAAGCAAGATATCAAGCTGTACATGCTGTGCACCACATGTTCTCCATTAATTTATCAGGATAAACTGACATTGTAAAAGTTTAGTTTACAAGCAGCAGATACTACAAGTAAATTCCTTCAAAACTGATAGATTGACCTCACGGGTCAAAAGGATGGCAGAGAAGATTTATGCAGAACCCTCACACCATGGACACAGACTGTTTTGAACTCCTCCCCTCTGGACGGTGCTACAGGTCACTGTACGCCAAAACAACCAGACACAAGGTCAGTTTCTTTCCCCAGGCCATCACACTGATGAAGTAAATCCATGACTGTATGACTGGACAAAGCAATCACCACAGTGCAATAAATTGCAAATTGTAAATATAACCATTGTATACATCAGTCTAAAATCTCTTCTGATGTAATGTACATATATTTATAAATGGTATCTCTCTTTTCCTCTCATTCCTTTCCTATTTTTGATTGCACACATTTCCTACTTGAATGCACACAGTGTTTATTCTCACTTTATTGCTCCATTTTTGTTTTTGTTCTCATTGTTGTTTCCTGGTCCTGCTGCCTTGCAGCACATTGAGAGCCTCTGTGGCGGAGTCAAATTCCTGTATGTTCAAACACACTTGGTCATTAAAGATGAGTCTGATTCTGATAACCAAGGTTGAATAGGTTCAGGATAAACTGTTACATCTGTTTGCTATAAAACCTGCAGTATCACACTAACAAGCTTAAAAAATTAATTGGTAAATTAAACAGTGCATTTGGAGGGCTCAATGAAAACTGATGCCCCATAATATTCCATCTCCCACCCAGACTCAGCTACATAAATTTTTGTAATGGAGTATCAGATCATGTATACACAGGAGGCGCAGCATGAGCAGCACTTCACGCTTTGTGATGTGTTTGCACATGCAGTATTTAGGATGAATGAAAAACCATCAGTTGATTAAAATAAGAACATAACTGTGTGTGAGACAGAGGACTGAAGAATCCAGCTGAAATGTCTCTTGTGCAGCCATGCTTGTTATAGGCAGATGTCAGTAAATTAGGACCAACCTGCTGCCTCCTGCAGTACGCTGGCTCTTGGTCGTGTCTAAAAAACTCCTCGATGGACACCAAGCGAGCCTTCTCTTGCTCCTCCTCTACATCTGACTCCAGAGGTGAAGTGCTGGGCGGTCGGAGGAGGTTAGCATTCTGAGGGTTAAGGAGGTCTGTGACTGGAGCTTTGGGTGGGGTAGGGATGTGCTCAGGGGTCTCGAGCTTGGCACCGGGGTTGTCGATGAACTCTGTGATAGATGGGAAAGGACGTATTGTACCAGGGCTCTCTGTGTCTTTGCACTGCTCCAACACTGTTGCTGTCGTTACCGATGCTGGTGCAGGTGCTGTTGCTGCTGCTGGAGATGGCTGAGTTGCTGACATGGTGAGGGGGGCCAGATTATCCTGAAGATCATGAAGACAGTCAGTATTGTACAGTACTATGTAATCAAGTTTATTACTAACACAAATGAACAGGTTGCGGTGTCTTATAGTGTATAGGAGGATGGCAGAGTGGGAGTTACCAGTGAAGTGATGGTGGAGGCTTCTGGTATTGTGGCCTTGCATGCAGCAGCAGATGAGGGATTGGACCAGGCCTTCACACATGAGGAAGATGAGAGAAAATCTTGTGAGTGGAGAGCACGAGGAGGGTTGGCAGCAGCCTCCACTGTGTAGCCAATGATGCGTGTGTGGGATGGCAAAGTGCTGGGCAGCATGGAGACGCTGGCAGTAGAGTTCACATAGGACGGTGGTGGGGGCAGTTTACTGGGACCTAGTGGAGCACAGGGCAGCAGGGGTGGCACAGCTGGGGTGGTGACAGCTGGGCCTGCCATGATGGCAGCAAGCTTGGACGGCACATTAACTGGCAAAGAGTCACAGGATTCCCCGTAGGCGGACATGGTGCGAACAGTGAGCTCCTGAGCTGCCTGCAGGGACTGGATCTGAGAGGGGCCCAGCAGGGCACTGCCAGCCGTTGGTGAAGACACCTCCAGCACCTTGGATAGGAGAACAATAAAAATCCCATGCCAAATGTACATCATGTACCTGATAGCAGCTTACAGTAAACATAGACAAACAAATATATACTGAATTCAAACAGCAATGCACAGTACAAAAATGTATGTTCAACAAAAAAGTTCTTGCCTTTTTCTTATCAGCATATATAGTGTACCCAGTGACCCGGACTCCATTGGAGGTCCCAGCAGCATCTATAGTGACTGGGAGCCAGCTGATGAGGGCAATCCCAGGAGAAGGACCCTGCTCTAGCTGTACATCCAGAGGAGCATCAGGGGGACCTGCGGGAATTAAAAGCATCACAATGCAGTCAGCGGCCAGCAAAAGACCGAGAAGCATGTTTTATATGACTGTGCTGAAAATACAGTACTTCGGTTATGAAATAATAATCACAGTGGGAAGTGATGACAAGAAACACTCTAAAGTGATAATATGACATTTAAAACCTGAATTCTAATATAACACTGATCACAGATATGTGTTTTATGGGTCTAAGATTTATTATATTTTACAATAAAATATTGTGTACTGGGGAGAGCAGGAGAAGGGTAATATGGAACCAAAACCTCACATTCTGCTTCCTTATTTACAAGGAATTTTGACTTTCTCAACCTCCCCTTATACAGCACTCTTCAGCAGTGCTTTGTAGGCAGGCCAGAAAAATATCAAACAAAAAGAAAGCAGGAAAAGGGAAAAATTCAGCTTTAAGATGAGGAAACTACCAACTTGCCATGTAACAGAATTATATATATATACACAAATTCAGAGAATATAATCATCTAACAAGGATGTCTGCATTTTTTTTCATACTGAAAAGTAGTTCATGTTTGATGAAAATATACAGTATAAGAGGGTGTGGGTACTTGAGCACTCACCCATATCACCACAAAGGATTGAACCTTGCAATACTGAACATATGCAGTTTGTGATCACACTAATGTGCAGTGTGGGTAAAATATGTGTATGTGAACTATCTAATGGAATCATTTGTTTTCACCGAGCTATTCCTATAATGGTGTCTAAACCCCTTGATTTGGATCAACCATCAGAGCCAAACTAAATTCTGACCTGCCATTAGTGTGGTAAAGGTGACTGTAGCGCTTCTGTGTTCACGTTGCTCCACAGGTAACTCCCATGGTGTGTGGTGTGGCCGTGCCTCCACTTTGACTGTGTATTGCACGTTGGGCAAGAGGTTATTGAGGCACAGTGAGTAGCAGCCAGCCTTCACCAGTTCACACTCCTTGTCATTCAAAGATACAATGTGCACGTAGTTACTGTTGCTGGAGAGCCAGGTCAGGTTGGCAGAGGTGGCGGAGATCCTCTCCACATGCAGCTGTGTAGGTGCCACACAGACGTCCCGACCAACTAGCATGCTGCAGTGCAGTTGGTCTGACAGACCCTTCTCTGTCAGGCTTTGTACTGACACACGGTAGGCCTTGTGATTTATGTCTAGCCGCTCCAGCACCGCTTTGGTCTGGGCACCGAAGGGCACACTGAGCCGCAGCTCCTGATCCACATACACATTGTAGCTCCACACATTGCCCCACCCAGCCGGCACCAATGGAGGGTCCCAGCTGATAATGATACTCTTAGCAAGCTGCTTGATGAGGGTGAGCTTTCGTGGGTAAGGCACAGTGTCCACTCCCACCTCCTCCAAATCCAAGTCCAGGCCATTGGTGAGGGGGGCTGGGATAGCAAAGGCTGGTGCTGAATCCAAGGGGGCAGAGGCAGGGCCAGAGGTAGCAGGGGCCTCTGTCCTTTCTGAAGCACTGACACCCATGTGGAGGTGATGCTGGTGGCTGGCACTGTGCAAGCTGCTGTCTAGCAGGAAGTTATGTGACATGTCCCCTGTCTCTGGATGGTGAGTGCTCATAACATCCTCATCTGATACACGTTCCACAAAGTTAGAGGGGACCAGCCCTCTCCGACCATCCATCAGCTCACCTGCAAAGTGCCACAATACTAAATAACATGTACGGACAGGAACATAACATTGTAAATACAAAAATATATATATGTATACTCAAGACGTGCCTTCATAGAAGCCATCATCATCCATGTCTCCATACACATAGATGTACTCTCCAGCAGTGAGTGGTAGCTCCATATCAGGGTTGTCGTTGGGGCCATCGTAAGGATTATAGCTGATGAAAGTAAATTTGACATTAAGTTATTTTCATCACATATTAACAGAGTTGATGTAGCAAGCTGACTTCTGTCTTAGCATAATGCTTACCTGTATCTTGCAATGAAAACCTGAAGCTTTGCTGCTCCGCTGCTGGTTGTGTAAGGTGTTGGGGCCACATCAGTGTCCAGCTCCTCTACTTCGCTGGCAGTGTCTACCTGAGAACACCATGAACAGCAGGTGAATGACTGTGGCCTTTAGGAAATCCCAGCACTCTATAAGGCAACGCTGGACCTTTCTGGTATACCTGACACAATATTTCAATGAGATGTAGAAGAAGAGAAACTGAAATGGCTTATTAGAGACGTGTTGCTTCAACTTAATTAATTAATTCTGGAGGCTGTTCCAAATATTTTTGTCCAGAGATGTGACATATATTTTGTCTACCCCATTTTCACCTGAGGGTAACCTATTTCTCAACACTGAAACCTGCCTCTATCAGAGAGTACTACTAGTACTGTTAGATTTTGTGTTATATGAGTGAACATTTTACACACATGTCCGTGCAGATTCTTGGTCATCTAGGTCATAGTATGCTGAAAAAACTTAGAAAAATCAACTGGATGACTCGCAGCCGCTGATTCCGGTACGTGGATGACACATGGGTTAAAATCAGGACCCAGGAGGTAGAGGCTTTCACTAAGCATTTCAACTCTGTAAATATCAACATCAAGTTCACTCGTGAGGATGCCAGAGATGACTGTCTGGCCTTTTTGGATTGTGCAGTCCACTTGGGAGGGGACAGAAGCATGAAGGTAGAAGTATATCGGAAACCTACACACACAGACCAATACCTGCTTTTTGACTCACCCCATCCACTTCAACACAAACTGGGAGTCATCAGAACTCTAAATCACAGGGCAGAGGAAGTGCCCACAACTGCAGAAGGGGCCAAGAAGGAGGAACTACACATCCAGAACTCCCTTAGGGCTTGTGGATACCCCAAGTGGGGCTTCACCAAAGCAAGGAAGAGGCCCAACACCAACAGGGAGAAATCAGAAACAAGAGGGGATAACACTGTCATCCCTTATGTGGCTGGTTTATCAGAGAAGCTAAAAAGGATCTTTTACAACCATAATATCACAGTCAACCTTAAACCAGGGAACACCCTGCAGCAAAGACTGGTCCACCCGAAGGACAAAACATCCAGACACAAACAGAGTGATGTGGTGTATGCAATTAAGTGTAATCAGGAGTGTAACGACTTGTACATTGGTGAAACTAAGCATCCACTGCACAAACCCATGGCCCATCACAGGAGGGCCAACTCCAGTGGACCAGAGTCCGCAGTCCACCTCCACCTGAAGGACAAAGGACATTCTTTTGAGGACAGTGAAGTCCAGATCCTCTCCAGAGAACATCGCGAGTTTGAGAGAGGAGTCAAGGAAGATATTTTTGTAAAAACAGAACACCCCTCACTAAATAGGGGTGGTGGACTAAGACACAACTTATCTTACATCTACAACTCTGTTTTGAGATCTCTGCCCAAACATGCCCACCAGGACAATAGGCATTGGTCCACAGGTGAGGGTTCAAAGACAGGTAACAACGCTCACCGATACTGGGCTATAATGACTCAGTTGTTAGGGGACATTGTTGGGCATCAAAGGACTGAAACACCACCAACGAGGATAAATATCTCTGACTCAACGCCAGTCGGGCAGAGCTGATGAAGCCTCTTGGATAAGAGGTGAAATGTCTTTGACTTAAAAACCTAGTCCAGTTGATTTTTCAAATTTTTTTCAGCATTTTACACACATAAAAACTTTTATCTTGAAAGACTGTGAAGAAATGACTAAGGGAAATAATTGTGTTTGACCGTATACAATGTTTCGCTAGAAAAAAGATATATATCATATGATTTTCTGTGAGAAATTGATTTACTGTAAATACACAACTAGTTATTAGGCATTATCATGTGAAAATTCAATATTCTTTATATATGCTGATTATTATTACTGAGTCACAGTTAACAGTCGAGAATAACCCCTGATGTGGAGAGATCCACGCCATTCATACTGGCTACACACAGTATAATAAGACTGTACATTTATAGCACACTGGGAAAACCTTTTAAGGATAATCATTTACAACTACTACTGTATAACCTTCACAATCCACATAATCCAGTGGATTATTTCAGTAAATATGAGATTTATTGAACTGTGGGCAGACAAGTGACTAGATGAAAAATAAAAACACCAGCCTGTTCACCATGCAAGACCAGACAGTGGCTCTCTGGAGATGTGGCACAATAAAACTACTACAATCAGTACTGATGTCTGCACTCACATGACATCGCAGAGAGGTTAAGGAAATCTTTTTAATCAATTAAATCCACATGACGATGCACGTGTTTGTGGTACATTTGGTAATCTTAGTGAGTGATCTGCCTGACTATGCAGAGAAAAGGAAAGCAGAGGAGTTAATTATGACATAACCTGGAAGAACAAGGCAACATTTTCATAAACCTACAGCCAGGCCTTCAAATGACAATTCAACAACCCATCAGACTTCGGTTAAAAGAACCATTTTGACTAGCAGAGTAAGAAGCTCTGGCAGCTTTCAAATACAGCAAAATATTTTATAATTTTTTAATTTTAAGCCACACTTACAAACTGTATACTGTGAGACTCCTGTTTTGGCCTGGATAACCAGTACTGCTCTGTATGTCACTGACTAATAGCTGCATTTAATTTAAATAAATGCAATTAAAAGTACTAGTAGTAACTATAATCACTATTAGTGCTGCAGTAAAACAAGAAAATATTTATATTTTATTTATTACAATCTACCTGCCAAGGGATCTGCAGATAAATGCCTTTTAGCTAAACATGGCACATTTATATCATATAAATGGTAAATAATATGTGCTGACCCTGAGAAATAAAGCAAGACAGTAAAAGGACAAAAAAGGATTAATTGAAAAATGAGTCACAGGAGATGCAGTGTACATTGTCATGGCTGGTACCTCCCGTGTTGAGCTTGACTTATGCGGACTGAGGTGGGTGTCAGACTTGGGAGTGAGGTGTGTGGTTTCTGACTTGCTGGAAGAAGAACCTGACTTGCTGACACTGATGGTGGGCAGCTCTCGGTGCTTGGTGACAGACGAGCGCTCCAACCTGGCCAGCCCTGCAACATGGGGGGTGGCCCCCATCTGCAGTGCAGTGGCCACATCTAGCAGAGAGAGAGAGAGGGAGAGAGAGAGAGAGAGAGAGAGAGAGAGAGAGCGAGAGAGGGGAAGACGATGATACATAATCCATTACTTTAACAGACACCTCCAGCCCTCCCAGCGGTCAACCTGAACCAGTGAGCAGCTAGGGGGATGTGTGGTCACTGATCTGCATGCAGGAGGCTCAAGGTTGAACCTGGTTGATTAAACAATGGCAGAAAATCCTGTCTCCATCAGTCTGAGGTCAGAAGTCACACCACCTTGTGGCAAAATGTGTCACACCAGGACTAGTAAGGTGCTTAACTGGTTCCACGGTTTATGGACATTTCTTCAACCCTCGTGATGGTGAGGATTACAGGCAAGCTCTGTTAATGTGTTGGACAGTGATAGTGATGGTGAGATGACAGGTTAGAACATGCCGTGCTTTTGTGACCGTGCCCAACACATATGAGTAACAGAGACAGAGAGAGTACAGAGCGGATTATTACCCTCAGGGCAGGAGAGAGTGTCACCTCCCTCGAGACTCCAGAAGGCTATTTCACCCAGAGACACCATGTCCAGTGAGCCACCTATGCAGTCTAAAACACAGACAGTGTAGAGGAAGGACGATGGACGCATACAATAGGAAATATGTGAACTAGATTGCACTTTCTTTACATTTAGTGGCGTTCTGAACTGCATTATTATGGGTATACTTGATTGTTAGGTGAAACTGCCTGTGCATTTGATTAATAGCCTTAGTAGAAGAAGCTGAGATAGGGCACACAAAAAACTGGTATTAAGATCATTTCATCAACCCTTGCTGTGTAAAGAGAACTGACAAAGTCAATAAAAAAAAAAAACACACAAAATAACAAATAACCAAAAACCTGAAAGGCTGTATCCCTGATGGGACAGCCTAAAGAAGTATCTGGATGCTTTTGAATGCATCTTGTCCATGAGTAAACTGATGCTGGTGGCTGTATTTTAGTCTTCATTTGTAAATTCATACTTTGGGTCAGCAGTCATTTCTCTTTCAGTGATAAGAAATTCTATGGAAAGAATATGTATACTAAGAGAGCTGAATTATGGTCAGACAATAACTAAAAGACAAAATAAGGCAGACAGCTGGTCTCAAAGTGACACTTTGACTTTATTGCTTTGTTCTGGGAGTCATCAGCCAGATAAAGTCACTACTTTAAAACAGCACTGTGTATTTATCAATATATCATTTATTATACAATACCACAAACATTTTGCTAATATGCATTACTGATACTGTATTATAACTGAACCAAAGAAATCTATCCCTTTAACCTTGTTAAATATCCTTTAAAGTACTAGCAATCACAAGAAAATTCACTAAGAAACCTAAAAACTACAGCTACTGTAATTGCAGTGAGGAATCTATCATGGCCTAAAACACTCAACAACTACTATTCTCTCAGCTGTTTAAGCAGTACTTTTGGGTGTGAGTACATGCCCATGGTGGTTTGGCTCACCTTGTTCAGTAGTCAGGCCCACTCCATTGGTCAGAACAGAGAAACTGGGACTGCTGAGGAGGCTAGAGCCAGCCAGGTCCACCTTTGTGGCCTGCAGTCGAAACCTCTCCAGCTCTTGGGACAGCAGGCCAAACTGCTTGCACTGGCTGCGACATTTCTCCTCCAGCTCTCGTACCTTTGACTACGCACATAAGGCGTAACAAACACAAAGAACAGTAAAAACCTGTTTTTAACTAAGTGCACATCCACCTTTCTGCACTATTAAATAAGATATCATCAATATGATATCACCAGTACATTTTAGTGGAAACTGTGAGGAAATGCTATAATTAGTTTCTTCTGTACACATTTGAACTCAATGTGCTTTTTTAAATACACAGTGAAATAAGTTAAGCTTTGTTTATTAAGTTAGTTAAGTAGTACTGTATGTGAACACAGGGGCATGTGTTTTAAGGTGTTGTAGATTTCATCTTTAATACGGAAACACAATACAATGTAAAGTTACATTGTATTACTAAATACTGATGTATTGTGCAGGGATCTAACCCTTTAGTACAAGTAAATTTCTTCATAAATTGTCATTGCCATCCAGAAACATATTTTGCCTAAACATCCATTTTCTTGACAACATTTGGAATTGATCACTGATTTATGCAGACATCTGACAAATCAAATACCACATGTCGTCTTACAGAGCTGTTATTATTTGGGTGAAAGGACAAATGGAAAAAAAATGCAGGTGGTGCTTTAATTTACTGGTCTGCAATTTTCTAGTCATTTCTTGAGAGTTTCCTCAAGGAAACCTCAACCTACAAGAAGAACCATGTACATGTAGGTTGGTATTAATTACAGAAAACAGAGCTTCTGACACTGTTTTTATTAACTAGTCCAAGTTGAGTTTGTTACTGCTTTAAAGATGAATTTTCATTAAAGAAATTACTTAGTGTAAACCCCAATTAATATTAATGATTTTTTTATTATTTGAAATTTTATTCTTCATTTATGCTTTGTTGACAAATTTCACACTTTGCATGTGTAGCTCATTTTCCGTCCTCTTAATAAAGGCCTGAGGTTTGTGTTAGCTTGGTATTTAGAAATATCTGGAAGTGTTGCAACTGATCAATCTCAAATTTGACCTGCAATTAGTACCAAATTATATGGTTAAAGCATTTGAGGAAATAATTTGGTAATAAACTGGAATTTACATATCTGTAAAATATGATTTTACTAAAATGCATTTTAAATTAAGTATTACAATATATAGTTAGGCTTCTGTACGAGAAACAAGATAGACTGTTGCTGAAAAACTTGTTATAGCTATAAACACAAGGAACTACAGGACCAATGGAAAGAAAACAAGAGGGAAATAAAGGCAAGTAGTTTTCTGGTAAGATGGAAAACATGAGTAAAAACCAGAGTTGGAGAGGTAGTACAGTATAGGTTATGATATGCTGAAGAAGATGTGCATCTTACACCCCATTCACTTTAACAAAGTAACTTGACAGTAGCCCCACTTAGTTTCTATATGTGGCTGATTTCACTTCCGGTTGCGGTGGGAGTTTCCTGGCAGGCTGATCTGACAAAAGCCTCTGCACGAAACTGTCTGAAAAACATTTCCTGTTAGCTCTCACCTACGCAAAGCCGAGTCTACAGTCAACTGCAATCTAGCTACACTGAGCTGAAGTGGCAGTGAGTCCTAAAGCACTGGGAGAAATCAACGAGAAACCTCACATGAATACTTAATTAAAAACAGCGGTCCACCTCAGTAATGTGTTGGGTATACACAGAATTAAATTCTGCCTCATTATAATAAGATCAAATAACAAGTCAGCCTCATATGCGCGATACAGTAACCATGCTCAGTGCAAGTGGGAGCCATAACTGTGCCAAAAATCCATAATTATATGGCCTCATGTGAATGATCTGATTTACACACCCTCTGGTAAGATAAGAAATTGCTGCGGTCACATTAAGCATTTATGAAAGATGATTTTACAGTAGTTAGTGTAAAGCTGTTGCTCCCACTTCCAATTTAAGTGTATGTACAGAGCACAAATGATCATCTCTGTCAAGTTCAAGGTTGCTGGGGGTGTGGTGGCTCGAACTACAGGGGCTAGGTAAGGTTTGTAGCAGGAGGTCAAGCAGGCTAAAGGTTAACAGTACCTGCATGCAGTCCAGTGTACTCTAGTTAGCAAAAAGATAACACATAGGACAAAAAGGTACATAAATGTAAACATGCTTGTGAAGCAATGAATCTGGAAAAAACAAACAAACAAAAAAACCACAAACATCAATATAGTAGAAACAGCAGCCCTCTGGCAGGGTCAGCAGCGAAATCCTGTCAGGAGCCAGTACCAGCAGAATGTCTCTTGGCCCTCAGCAGCCAACACATGCCATTTAAATGAACACACATATTCCTTCTGATTTTTCAAAACAAATGTTTGACCGATTGAGAAAGGCAGTGTGTGGACTTGGCAACTACATCAGACTCTCAGGCGGGAAAGAGACTTTCTCCTGTGATGCTTTGGGTTTAAATAGAGAGGCAGAAAGTGAGAGAAACAAAGGAAGAGGAAGGAAAAAACTTTGAAAACAAACAGGAGCAGCTATACTCTACCAGCTCCCTCCGCAACACAAGCTGAGTCAGTTCCTAAAATAAAATACACACTTCATTTAGGAAGGACCACAGACAAGCAGACATACTGTATACAATCACCGGTTGCAGATAATGATATTTTTTGAGTTTTTGGAGTAGGCTCTCCAGTCGTTTTGATCTTTTTATAATTTCATTTCTCAAAATCAACAGCTAATCAGACAGATGGAGACTTTAACTGTCAGCAGCTATCTAGAATCATTTTAAATTCAATGAGTGTTACACTTGCACTGAGAGCAAGCATAAGCGTCACACAGTAACACAGAAGCCATCTGTTCAAACCGTTTTCCAGGCACAGGAGTGCTACAAAAATACAAGTATTTTCTGAAACAGCTTCACTGCCAGGTGTTTAGATGAGAATGAAGAGCTCACTGCGCTGCTCGCCAATGCTGCTTCACTGGTAATGGGATAGCTTATGTTTACTGAGAGAATTATATTTATTCTCTTTTTGCATGACTTAACACTGACTAATGAATGAGATTTTATTTTGTCCGTCAGAAAACTTGTAGTGCAGGAGACAAATACTGAAGAAGTCTGAAAATTACTCCTCTTCCTCATGTCTTGACTAAGTTCCACTCTTTTGTGTAAATTTACTAAACACAGGCAACTTTAATTTTTATTTTGTTAAGTCATTCTAAATTCCGGGAAACTCCTTGGGGCTTTACTGTATGGTAATATAAGCACTGCACTGTGTCGTCTTCTTCTTCTACGTTTGGCTGCTCCCATTAGGGGTCGCCACAGCGAATCATCAGTTGCCACCCAACTGACTTGGCACGTTTTACACTGGGTGCCCTTCCGGATGAAGTTTAATTTAGAGTATAAGCACAGCACTGTATAAAAGTAATTTATTTGGTTTTCTTTTGTGTAGTCACATGGGCCATCACAGTGGAGAAATACAAACTCACCTCCAGCATCTGAACCACTCCTTCATGCTCCCTCTTGGCAAATAACTGAGCCTGATAATTAAGAAGGCATCAAAGTCAGTGTAACATTCTCATAAAATTCCAATACACAGCACAGTGACAAACACTCAATGCTTCATTGGTGCCCAAAGGTTGCCTCCTGCTGGACAAAGCACTCCACTTTACAAAACTAAGATGAAATCAACCTATAGGCCATGAGTGGTTATTCTTAGCATGTAAAACGTTTATGTCAAACATGTGGAGAGTACAAGACACTGTGGTTCTCACCCGCTGTAATCGTTTGATTTCATCCTGTTTGAACTTAAGGATAGCCAAAGCCTGCTCATGTTCCAATTCCAGCTGCTGCCTTCGCTCGGCGACTTCTCGCATTTGCTGTTTAAAAAAAAAAAAAAAAAAGATGAGATCACAGATTGTATAAATAGCATGAAAAGGACAGTCCACAGAATATTTAAGCCTAGCTGTACCTTTATGACCTGCTCTAGGTTCTCCAGTTTGGCACGGAGTCTCTGGTTCTCCTCGAGAACCAGACTGTGTTGAGCGGTCACTTCAGAGAGATCTTCCTTCAGCTCCTCATTCTCAGCCTGAGTCTTGAGAAACAACAGGAGGTTAACTGACTGGATAATGTTAAAGGATTTTTCTTTCTGTTTACAACCATCATTCCTCTCAGTCATTTTACATCCATACTACATTAAAAGAAGATAAAGAAGAATCTGTTTACAATCTCTTTAAATATAGGATGATTTGTGGTGCTAAAATCTACTAGACAGCTTTAACATTACTGCATGCCCAGATCTAAGCATTATTGGATGATAAAAAATGATTATAAATAGACAGCTCTGATCCAGGTTATACAAAAGAGGATGGAGTTCGACAGGGTAGGGAGGAACTGACCTGCTTGAGCAACTGTGCCTTCCGTCTGAGGAGATCTGCCTCTTCCTTTAGTTGCTCATTTTTGCCTTGCTCATTCTCAAGCTGGCTCTCCTGTTACAAAATCATAAGTCCAAATAAAATGAGGAAATCCAGATTTAACTGATCATCATCATGTTCACTGCAGTAATGCTTAAACCAGTCTGGAGGGCCATGAGAAGAAAATACTGGAGACTGCTTACCAAATCCAGACATCTCTTCTGTCGCTTCTTTATTTCATGCTCAAGGCTTTCACATTCTTTTCTCTTCTTGCTCAGCTCACTTTCCTGAACCCACAATGATAAGAAAACAACAATAACTACACTAAATCTGCATCTGTTCTTTAAATGGTTTTAAACAAAGCACAAGATAAAGTATACTATACAAGTGCAAAACCAGTCCAAAGCAATAAAATGACAAATGGTTTGCATTTACATTTAACAATACACTGGTGTTAGTTTCCATTTTGACCTCTGACAGGACAGCAGTGAGGTATTATAAAGCTTAGCATCCTTTAATTATTCTAAATGCAGCTTACATGCAGGACCAGCATAGGAGAAATCATCTTATTTCAGCATAGCCACACAACCTCAATCAAGTATTACCACGGTAACTGTGTGGGGGGAAGCTACAGACAGTCAGACAAACAGGCTAATTGCAGAGCACCAGAGGCTGACAGGAAGACATACTGTACTTTCACCGGTGGTGACACAGCAGGATAATAAGTATAAGTTATCTGTGATCTGTGGTCTGATTTGCTTGATTGTGTATTGGTCACAATTTTAAAGACCTAAATAATGGGTATCAAGAAAGGATGTTTTGTTGTGCAGCCAAATTTTGACTGCAACCATGTCTGGTTGTACTGGCAGGAATTTAAATATAATGTCAGCTGTTTCATATTTAACAAAGATATGTCTTACTGAAATATGCATTTGCTGTGGCTCCAAGTTAATGTGTTGGTCCCAATTAAGACTGTTCCCTTTTCCATGTGCCAAATCTGTCTGTTGGCCAGAGGATGTACAGATCACCATGTGTCCCCTTTTACCAATCACTTTGCTCATTCTGCAACTCACAAAAGCTATTTTTATGGAGCTTTCAAAAGGGCCAAGCTTAAAATGGTACAATGAACATGGAGCCAATATATTTAGTATCCCTCTTCTCATGCATATAAACAAGAGAACATTTAGAACAGTCCTGCCTGCAGTTTTGGTTGTATGTAAGGAAGGCTGACATGCTCACAATGACAAGAAGCTCAAATTACTGTATGTGTTTAGGCATGAATGTTTTATATTTATAATCTCAGTTTAGGGTGTTAGCATGCTAACATTTGCTAACAGAAATTGAGTTTGAATTTTGAGTAGAAAGCTAGATAAAATTACATCTGTGTAAAGACAATAATTCATTTATTGGTGCTAAACACAAAGTACAGCAGTACTCATTAGATTTTTAAGTATTTGGTCCAGTGTCAGAGGCAGAAACTATATTTTGGGTGGGCCAGTACAAAAGTGGATGGGCCATCTTTTCCATAAAAATTGCAAGTTAAACCAGCAGGACATAGCTGCAGCCAAAAACATTTCACAACAATAACCACTGCATGAAAAGAGCTGTATCCGGACAAACATGGGTATGGGAAATCCCCGCTAAACTTCAAGTTTGCCAGATGTATGAGAGTGCTTGGTTTTCGTGAAACAACCAGATACTTCATGTATATGATGTATACGGGAATCAGTGAAAGTTTCCTCAGTGATGACTGTGAGGTGTAAAGGCCTTTCATATGTTAATGACTAGTAGGTAGAGGTGCTGTCTTTGTTATCATAGCGGGGTGGGGGGATTAGCCATGGTGTGCCTTCTAAAGGACAGCAGATATTTTATTATTGTTCATAAAAACTGGATAAAACACCCTGTCTGTACAAATGTGTTTACTACATACGTTTATTATTAATATAGTTTAATTTGTATGTTATTCAAAATAACTTAAATTCAATAGACATACCTTTTTAAATGTGTGAAAATTACTTTTTATGTGTCTGACACTTCATAGATTATGGTAGTCAAGAGGAATGCAACAAACGTTGTTTCAGAATATCATTAAAAAAGGTTTATTGTGAAGGTTTACATTTACAGATAATGACAAGAAATACGAAAATGCACAATAACAGTATAAACAAACAAGCTTTTGTAATTACATTGGCCTAAACCACTGTGCATAGTGGTATTAGACTGAGACCTTTTCCGTAGATTGACTTAACCCTTGTGCTCTGTTCGGGTCTGTGGGACCCGGAGACACATGTCACCTTAAAAGCACAAGGGTTAACTGCACAGTTGAAGTACTGATTACACATCTGCCTGCAATATGCTCCACAGGGAGAAATGCTACAGCAGCATCGGTCTGCACTGCAAAATTGCGCAGTGTAAAATAAGCGGTGTGAGAGTGCCTTGACTCTTTCAGAGTTAATACAACAACAACTGTAGTAAAAAACCTCCCAGTGTTGGTGAAAATTTCTGTAACTATCAGAAACCTTGTAGTAATTCCAGGGCGGACATCTGCATTTGGATCTAGGACTGGTTCCTCAAAGCACACCATTTAGCCAAAACACAAGCAGACCTTTCAGGTCTGCAGCTGTTAACTGACAGAGTTACTCCAAGATTCTTAACTTTAGAGCAAGTGTTTGCCAAATGAGCCACCTGTAAGACACAGCTGTAAGGATATATTTTACTGTACATTAATAACAGATTTTCTCTGTCAAATTCATCTAGCAACAACATCATGTCAGTTGCTCCATAAGAAGACAAAATATCACATTTTTTGCGTGCTAGAATGTTGATAAATTCAGTGCCATAATCACAAGGCAATGGCATATAAAGCTGTTGGTTCTGTTGAAAATGCCTCATGAGTTGAACTGTTGGTTCAATGTTTCTGTGGTTATTATGATACTGCCCTAACATTCCATTAAATCCTTCAAAAGAGAAGCACTAGAATGAATACACAGGTCCATAATCAAAAATGCAGTCTTTTAAATGTAAATGCAGATGCAAATTGGGTGTGCAATGTAGTGGCCCATACAGACTGACAAACTTAGATAAAAATGTCTGCAGATACTTGTCATCTACTTCGAGTCTATCTGTGGAGATAACTCTTGAGCATATGATAATGCATGCTTGTACAAAGTCAGACCACATATAATGTTTGTCATCAATCAATCCCTTCAAACAAAAAAAGAGAATAAATAGTAGTCCAATTTTTCCACTGATCAGCAGTAAATCCACTAAACCCTGAGGCAATTTTGCGAGGAACCCTTCCCACATCCTGAGGCACCTTTAAAGAGTCTATTCTTCTTTGTATTTCATCAAGCTTTTGGGTGCTTAAAACACCAAGTTCAGTCCATAACCTGAATATGTGCCTGGCTGTTCCAAGAAGTAGATTATGCATTGGGTCAATGACAACAAATCTTATGGCATCATAATACTTAAGGTGAAAAGGTTCAGACCACCTAGCACCATATTGAGCTTCCAATTTTTTTTTTTGGGCTGCCTTTGTAGTTGCCTTCTCCGTCATTTTAGCATACAGCTTGTGTTCCTCTGAAGTGCATGGGACCCAGGATGAACGGTCAAAGCCAGAGAAGTCTGTTTTCCCTCCAAAGGATGTTTTCTTGAATGTTTTCAGGCATTTGTTACATCCTATACAACACAAATACAACAATAAATGGATGTCTCTTAAAACCAGATGTACTTTTAAGTTTAAAACAACACATGTAACAGCACAAAAGCAGAAAACTAACCTCTTAAAGCTCCATGGTCCACAAAGCCACCACACTTGCGTGAAGCTGGAATGTCTGATGAAAGGCACAGAAGAGCCGCTCTGTAGACTTGGCATCCCAAAAATGAAGAATCAAATATGGGAACTCCATCCCACAGCTCACGAAGCTCATCCACCAAAGGGTCAAGATATGTGTTAATGTTGTTCTTTGGTTCTGTAGGTTCTGGTATAACTCCAACTAAAATTATGTTCTCCTCCTTAAAACGCTCCTCTCGTGGCAAATTCAAAATGGCCAGATATATGACCCCTACTGAATATGGGGAGTTCTTGAAGGGTTGATACCAATCAACATTCATCATGAGAGCAAAATTGTTTGGCTCTGCTAGAAATGGCTGTCCATTAACATACTGAAAGTCTGTCCAAATCTGTCCATCATATACATCTGCCATTACAGAGTTAGGAATTTGTCTTTGTCTCCACTTCTCACACTTTTCCAAAAATCCAGGTCTTCTAATCAAAGTTCCCAAAGACTGAATTAATTTCTTATAGCAATAGGTTTGTTTCAGGTAAAAACTTTCTGTGCCATTGAAACGTTTAACTTTGCTCATTAAGAGAGAGCCACATTTCTTTCTCAGGGCAGATGTCTTGTGTGGATGCTTGTAAAATGGAATATATCCACATGTTTTACTGGTAGCTGAACCATTCCTGGCGATATCATAACAGGCAAGTTGTCCATGACCTCTTTATTCCTCTTGAAAGCAATAATAAAATTTAAAGAAAACAGACACAAAATGTAGTATGTCAGCAATAGAAAAACTGCATGGTTATGCTTTGGATGTTCACAGGACAGTATAGTACTACATGTTCTCACCAGAAACTTTAGGCACTGCTCCGTGGTGTGGTCCTCCTGAGGGCAGGGGGGTGGGTTGAGGCCCGGTAGGGGCGTCACTTGCGGCCCCGACTCCTCCTCGTCTCCGGGGGTCCTCTCACACCTGGATGGGGCTTCATATAATGCCACACACGGCGTCTCTGCTACAACCTGGCAGGGACAGGAAGACTGATTGTCTCTTTTTTACACAGAGACTGCAGCAAACAATCAGTGTTTTGACCTGTCTTCAAGATGGCTTTTTTGATTTCACCCCATTTTACAAAAAACTCAAAAAGCCAGCAAAACGTCATCCCTGTGTTCATTTTACACAGCTACCGCAATCCTGGTTCTGGAGGCGTGATGCTTATCATGACACCCAACTGCTTCGTTAGATATTGATTCTAACTTTTAACTTGCAACCAAAGTCAGCCTGTACCCGATTGGATCCTAGACAAGTCACAATGTATAGAAAGGAACGTGTAATAGTAATTGGTTATTTTAAGTATAGTGTAGGAGACAGCGAAACATTCAGGGTGGTACGTGTAACCTAATTAGAAATGAAAGGCTTTCTGCTAATATGTTTCAGTCATGTTCCAGGTTAGAGGGATTCCCCCTGGATTATTCATTGATTGGAGTCGACTGTGAAGGAAGGGTGCTGCTAATCCCTTAATCACAGCATGTGACTGTGATGTTGTCAATATACTCTGCTGTATACAGCAGCAATCACAGACTTGCTCCCTTCTCAGGAGTTCTCATGAAATATTTTAGTATTGATAGGCTGATAAATCAGTTGGCTGATTAATTAGGCCGATATTTGACATTTTTAGATAATTGGACAGTTTCTGTACATCAGCATTATATATTTGCCACTGGCCTTCCTGCTCTTTAAGGATTGGCATTGGCCACTGAAAAACCATGATCATTCTTTAGTGCAACACATTAAAGAAGAAATTTTTCTAAGGACTGTCACAACACAGCATGAAGGGATTTATTTATTAGGTTAGAAAAGAATATTTTTGGCTGATGTGTACAGTCATAGTTCATTTTTAAATCTACAAGGTTGTCATTAATTGACAACCTGGCAACCTGGCAATAATAAAAGAGAAAGGCATCCACCCTTCATTTCATTCTCATAGGCATACTTTAAGTCTATATACATGTATATCATTTCACAGAATAACTTTATTCTCTGTAATACTGGCAGCGTGGAAAGCATGTGAAAGTGTTCTGGCACCACTTTGTTAAATTTGTCTAAGTACCTGTTTGTTAAACATGCAGGCACTTATTGCTGTAAACCTGTCTTTCTCACAAGTGCAGCAGCATTAGGGTGAAGGAAGGTTTCTAAACAGCATGTTCAAACATCATGGCGGATATGGTAAACCTTAATAAAGAGTGTTTGACTGTTAAGCAACACTACCTCTGGTTTATCATTTGGTAGGAGACCAGATGGTGTTAGTAGTGGTGATAAAAGGCCAGCAGGAGGCCCTAATTCCACTTGCCCCTATACAGAAATAGTGAACAGGAATGAGGGCTTATAAAGAAGAGCTCTGCTGATTTTTCTCCTCATGATTGCGTCTGATAATGATCCTGTCACATCCATCAGGTGCATACATGCCCTCTGATCCCAGAATCCAGGCAAAATTCCAATCTTTGTGTTTGGTCAGTCACAGTAAACCTGTCTTCTTATTATTCTTAATTAGCTTGTAGTACTTCATAGCCACTGTATCCACTGGGCTTGCTTAACTGCGTGGAATTTGCAGCTATAATCTGGCAGCCATGCAGCCAGGTGGACGTGGCATGCTACTGGAGGCCAAGGTGGGATCAAATTTCAACAAACCCTATATTTTCTTATCAGTATTCCACTATTTTTGCTACTCTTTTCATGTTCCTAACTCATTCTTAAAGCTGCATCAACAAATTGCACAAATTTGGATAAATCAAGTAAAAAAAATAGTCTAGAAATGTTTTCTCTCTGCTGTAATGTACACCGTTTGATTATGTTGGACATAACACTCCACTCCATTTAGAAGTTGTTAAAATTTATGCCATCAACGCAACTAGAAAAGTGGGGAGTTTGTTCAGTTATCACAGCTTAACATGTAGTTTTCTCATTTTACATATAACTCACAATTATCTTATAATGTTATGTGTGTTAAGTATGTAATACTGAATGTGATGCGATAGTGGCCAGAACATTAGTATTGTATCGATATTACTGGGAAAAAACATTCATCTGTATAATTTGCTTAGATGTTAAACATACGCATGCATAGTTACTAAAACATAAACCTCTTTACTTGACATTGTGTTGCAGCAATGTCACTCAAAACAACAGGCTCTATACTCCATATACAGTGCCTTGCGAAAGTATTCGGCCCCCTTGAACTTTGTGACCTTTTGCCACATTTCAGGCTTCAAACATAAAGATATAAAACTGTAATTTTTTTTGAAGAATCAACAACAAGTGGGACACAATCATGAAGTGGAACGAAATTTATTGGATATTTCAAACTTTTTTAACAAATAAAAAACTGAATAATTGGGCGTGCAAAATTATTCAGCCCCTTTACTTTCAGTGCAGCAAACTCTCTCCAGAAGTTCAGTGAGGATCTCTGAATGATCCAATGTTGACCTAAATGACTAATGATGATAAATAGAATCCACCTGTGTGTAATCAAGTCTCCGTATAAATGCACCTGCACTGTGATAGTCTCAGAGGTCTGTTTAAAGCGCAGAGAGCATCATGAAGAACAAGGAACACACCAGGCAGGTCCGAGATACTGTTGTGGAGAAGTTTAAAGCCGGATTTGGATACAAAAAGATTTCCCAAGCTTTAAACATCCCAAGGAGCACTGTGCAAGTGATAATATTGAAATGGAAGGAGTATCAGACCACTGCAAATCTACCAAGACCTGGCCGTCCCTCTAAACTTTCAGCTCATACAAGGAGAAGACTGATCAGAGATGCAGCCAAGAGGCCCATGATCACTCTGGATGAACTGCAGAGATCTACAGCTGAGGTGGGAGACTCTGTCCATAGGACAACAATCAGTCGTATACTGCACAAATCTGGCCTTTATGGAAGAGTGGCAAGAAGAAAGCCATTTCTTAAAGATATCCATAAAAAGTGTCGTTTAAAGTTTGCCACAAGCCACCTGGGAGACACACCAAACATGTGGAAGAAGGTGCTCTGGTCAGATGAAACCAAAATCGAACTTTTTGGCAACAATGCAAAACGTTATGTTTGGCGTAAAAGCAACACAGCTCATCACCCTGAACACACCATCCCCATTGTCAAACATGGTGGTGGCAGCATCATTGTTTGGGCCTGCTTTTCTTCAGCAGGGACAGGGAAGATGGTTAAACTTGATGGGAAGATGGATGGAGCCAAATACAGGACCATTCTGGAAGGAAACCTGATGGAGTCTGCAAAAGACCTGAGACTGGGACGGAGATTTGTCTTCCAACAAGACAATGATCCAAAACATAAAGCAAAATCTACAATGGAATGGTTCACAAATAAACATATCCAGGTGTTAGAATGGCCAAGTCAAAGTCCAGACCTGAATCCAATCGAGAATCTGTGGAAAACTGCTGTTCACAAACGCTCTCCATCCAACCTCACTGAGCTCGAGCTGTTTTGCAAGGAGGCATGGGCAAAAATTTCAGTCTCTCGATGTGCAAAACTGATAGAGACATACCCCAAGTGACTTACAGCTGTAATCGCAGCAAAAGGTGGCGCTACAACGTATTAACTTAAGGGGGTTGAATAATTTTGCACGCCCAATTTTTCAGTTTTTTTATTTGTTAAAAAAGTTTGACATATCCAATAAATTTCGTTCCACTTCATGATTGTGTCCCACTTGTTGTTGATTCTTCACAAAAAATTACAGTTTTATATCTTTATGTTTGAAGCCTGAAATGTGGCAAAAGGTCGCAAAGTTCAAGGGGGCCGAATACTTTCGCAAGGCACTGTACTGTACGTACATTAGTTCTGGAGCCGGTTATTACTGCTGCGATACCTGACTGCCACAGCTGTCTCTGGCTGTCATGACCACATATGAGGTAGTTTCACAGACAGGACAGGAGGAGCAAAGAGGAACAGAGGGAGAAGAGGAGGGGATACTAGTTGAGTTTGTTCTGACTCTCACTTTACCCTTAATGGTTGAAAATTACAGGGAGAAGTTAGTTAATGCTGCTTTAAGATTAAACACACCCCAACTTCACACTTCATACCAACATTGCAATCTAATGATGGAACATACTAACTTGAAAAAAAGTCATTTTAGATATTTTCATGTAACTAACTAAACAGTGGTACATGTTTTAAGACCACAACCATCAATCATCCTTCTTCCAAAGAAGAGCCCAGTCACCTGCCTGAACAACTACAGGCCAGTGGCACTCACCCCAATCATTATGAAGTGTTTTAAGAGAGTGATGCTAGCCCACATCCAGAGCAGTATACCGAGCACCCTGGATCCCCTGCAGTATGCCTGCTGGCCCAGCAGGGCCACCTCATACGCTATTGCGGCTGCCCTCGGCTATTCCGTTTCTCACCGGGAAAATGGAGACCCTTACATCAGGATACTCTTCATTGACTACAGCTCCGTCTTCAACACAGTTATCTCCCACAAACTCACCCACAAACTGTCCACACTGGGCTGTACCCCACCCTCTGTGACTGGCTCCTGGACTTTCTGACTGGCAGGCCCCAGACTGTCAGGATTGGCAATAGAACTTTAGCCATGATTATCATGAACATTGGCACCCTACAGGGATGTGTCCTCAGTCCCATCCTCTACACCCTGTTCACGTACGACTATGTCACCTCCCACAAAGACAACATCATCCTGAAGTTTGTGGACGACACCACAGTGATAGGTCGTATCACTAGCGGGGACGAAGCAGCCTACAGGAGGAAGGTGGCTGGTCTGGTGTCATGGTGCAAGGACAATAATCTCAGCCTCAACATGGACAAGACCCCCAGCACGGACTGTTTATACCCCTACCCTCCGGTCGGAGGTTCAGAAGTGAGAAATGCAGGACCTCTAGACTGAAAAACTCTTTCTTTCCCTCTGCCACCAGACTCCTAAACGGCTGACTCAGGATCTACCTCATGTAATTCCATTTGTACTGTTTACATACTCACTTTGCACATGCACAATTGCACAGTCACTGCTGAGTATTTATGCTCCACAGCTCCCACGTAGCATATATTCTCTCTGCATTATATTGTGTTCTTGTATTTTTATTTGCTCCCTTCACTTGCTGCTTTAAAGTGCCTTAGATTTGTAATTTTACTGCTTATTTAGATTTGTGTTATTGCTCATCTACTTTATATTTCACTTGTATTATGTGGCATTCATGTGACTGTTGGCTTCTCAGTCCCAGTAAACCATATTTTACTTGTGTATTATAAAAGTAAATTGGCCCCAAGAGGTGTGATAAAACTAATCTAAGAAAAGTAAGAAGAAAATTTTACAGTGCATGATTAAAAACATAATTAAAGCAGTGGATATAGTAAATATCGACCAATTTTTTACATCTTTCTGGATATTTAAACTGTTATAAATAAATGCCCTGATAAATAATGCAGCCTTGTCCAAGGTCTTTCATCATGTTGAGGCCACACCAGATGACGCAGCATGTGTTTATGTCAGATGAGGTCCCAGCTCAGATATTTATCTCCACTTGCACGTTGAGATGTCATTGTCTACACTTCACACTGTTGTGGTTCATGTATATTAAAGGATCAAATACACTCTGGGCCCATGCGTACTAAAGCAGGATGAGATCCTATTCAGCAGGCCCTGAATGCCATAAGCACATTGGTGTAATCCCTGCAGACTACTGAAATAGGTAACTGGATCACTTCTTTTAAAAGCATTGACCTGGCTGTTGATTTTCATTTTAATAAGGAGTGTATTGATGTCAACCAATCAAATATTCTACCACCCTGCCACTAAGTCGGTCTGCCTAAATTCTACATTTGGAAGTGCCAAAACATGTCTGTTACAAAACCTGTTTTCTAACAGTATGTCAACTAGGCCTCATGCATGTCTCATCTTTCTAACTCATCTTTCTTTTCTAACTTGCAACAAACTGGCAGTCCCATCACAGACAAGGGTGGGATTTACTATCACACTTACTGAAATGAATATTAAAGAGACAAAAGCAATGACACCTAAAAGAAAATCATCTTAGCTGTGTGTCATATTGTAGTACCAAGATGGGACATACAGCATACTAATATTTCCACATAAGCTGGTGATTTTAATATCTGACACAAATGACTGACACCTGCTGCCTTGAGCCAATTCTCTCACACTTGTGATTCACCATGACACTGATTAGTTTTCAGTGTCAAGTCTCAACTCCTGCACACATCACTCTCACATCCAGGCAGATACATATGTGACCTACACACAGAGAGAACAAAACACATGAGATGACCTACCCCTTTGCTGTGATCTGTGGCAATGTCAAGGCTTCCCTTGGCCTGCTAGTTATCCAGAGTAGAGCGAGATAGGAAAGGCTTCATGTGGCGGGAGTCTTTCCTACCACCCAAAACCCTGTCACCACTGCCACAGCAACAGAGGGCGGATTACTGGGCTGTACCATTCTGTTGTTGGATGGGATTAGAGTTCACACAACATGACCCCTTTCTGGGTGTGCGTGTATCACTGGGAATGTGTCTGTGTGCGTGCGTCCCATGAATGAGAGATTATGAATGAAGATGCATACCTAAGATGTATGCCTTAAAAGTGATAGAAACTGATATTAATGCACAGAAATTGTACCTTTACAATTCACCTCTCCAGAGTATACCAATGATATTACATTTTATATTACTGCAGGTATTCATTCACTAGTGTGGCTGAATAAAATATTACAATTACAAATAATAGTCAATCTGCATCATATGGTTATGATTTAAGTGCACTTTTGTCTTGTGCCTAATATCTCTTAGCATCACCTCACTGGTGAAGAACTATTTCTAAGATTTGAATACAGAGGAGATCAGTATTAAATACAGGGAGGGAGTGTGACTCTGTTAACTTTGATCAGGACCACATTCAAGACAGGGAATCATCTCATTATGGCTTCTGGCAGATTAGTAATAGTGTCCAACAACGAGGCATTATATAACACTGCAAAAGAGCATTTATGCCAACATAAACTAGGTTGCAGAATATTTTACATAACCAAACAACATATAATCCCAAATATATTGTAGTACCAACACCACTGATGCTGTGTACTGTAAATACATGATTGGGTCTCTGTTTGTAATCAAAAACTTGATCTAAATAAATCTGAAGTATCATCACACCAGTTCTCCAGAAAATCTTGCAGTTTCTGCACCTCTACACTGCCTCAGGTCACATTATAGGAATAAATCAGGTCTTTTTACTTTCAAAATAAGATGTATCCAAAAAAGTTCCTTTAGACACAGGGGTCGGGAACCTTTTTGGCTGAGAGCCATGAAAGCCACATTTTAAAATGTATTTCTGTGAGAGCCATATAATATTTTTTTAACACTGAATATAACTAAATGCGTGCATTTTTTAAGTAAGACCAACAATTTTAGAGTATAATAAGTCTCTGAATTTATTTTTTTTAATAATGTTGTTATACTGAAGCTAACCAATAAATAAAATACTTCTTACCATTAATGCGACTTCTGGTGCTGCATGGTTTTGCTGATGGCTTTGTAGTCTGGTTGATACGTGGTGAGGTTAAGCTTCATGCAGGCGTTGAGGCTTCCATCCATTAAACGTGATCGTAGGTTGGTCTTGATGTTTTTTAGATATGAGAACGACTGCTCACATGCATACGCAGAGCAAACATGGTCAATACGGCAATACTCACAAGCTGCAGTGTGTGGTATGTGACAGGAAGCACGTTCCAAGTTTTGACAATCAGCTGGTCTGTGGGTTGAAGTTTTTTCATTTCTGTCCACTGGTGTTTGCTCACCAGCTCTGCTTGCTGTCGTGCAAGTCTTTCCAAATCTTCATTCAGTGACTTGAACTTATTCACCCACATGTCTGAGGCCTTCAGGTCAGCAACTTCTACCTCAAAATCTCTGATGGAGACACCAGGGATGTAACTCAGGTCGGCTTTGTCCAATGCACACTCGTGTGGATGAGTGATGAACTTAAAAAGACGAGTGTGCTCACAAAATTCTCCAAAGCGTGCTTTGAATGACTGCAGGAGATTAGATGTGAAGCCAGCTAGCTGCTGGAGATCAAAATGTTGAGCAGGGTCACTTGCTGTGCACGCAACTTTAAATTCTCTCAAAAGTCCGGATTTCGCTCAGGCAAGCCGCAAAACAGCTGAGCACTTTCCCTCTTGACAACCAACACACATTGCTGTGCAAAAGCAGACCGGGATAATTATTCCCAACTTCATCCAGCAGTGTTTTAAACTGGCGATCATTTAAAGCTCGGGCAACAATAAAGTTGACCACCCGAATGACCAGCGACATCACCTCACCAAGCTACTCACCACACATTTGAGCACAAAGCGCTTCCTGATGTAGAATGCAATGAAAACTTAGCATGGGTCTATTTTCATGTTCACGAAGAAGCGCTACAAATCCTCAGTTTTTTCCCACCACACAAGGAGCACCATCAGTACACACCGAAATAAGTTTATCCATCAGTAGATTTTTTCTTTAGCAAACTCAGTGAAAGACTTGAATAAATCCTCCCCTCTTGTTGACCCTTTCATTGGCAAAACAGCAAGACTTTCCTCACGCAGTGTCACCGGCAGCATACCTTGCAATCACACTGAACTGGGATAAATGGCTTATGTCTGTTGACTCATCCAAATTGAGGGAAAAGTATGGCGTTGCATTTATGTCCTTCACTTGTGTTTCCTCCACTTGATTGTCCATCATGATGGTACGATCGTGAACAGTATTTGCTGACAGAGGCATGTCTTTTATTCGTTTGATTATCTTATCTTTATCCAAAAAGTCGTCAAAAAGTTCATTGGCCACATCAAGCATGAATGTTTTGGCATACTCGTCATCTGTGAATGGCTTTCCATTCCTCACTATTGCTAAAGAACCAGCAAAGCTAGCCGAGTTCCAGTCACCTTGTCGGGTCCATACACGGAGTTACTGCTGACTAGCTTGCACTCTGCACAGTAGCTCATGCCTTCTTCCTGCTGTCCCCTGCTGGATATTTCAATACAAATGTAGCATGCCCATGTAGGCTACAGCATTATCCAATAAAAATAGAGTTTTGGTGCTGGACTCTCCTGTACCCCGAAGGACAGCTGAGATTGGCTCCAGCCACCCGCAACCCTGAACAGGAGCGGTAGAAAATGGATGGATGGATGGATTAAAATGCACGAGAATGTTTTATATTTTGAACGTTATTATTAACACTGTGATTTCTGTAATGTTTTACTTTAAAATGTCAGCGGAATTATTCATTATTTATTGTGTTAAGAAAAGTCAGGTAAGATTTATCTGCGAGCCAGATGCAGTCATCAAAAGAGCCACATCAGGTTCGCGAGCCATAGGTTCCTGACCCCTGATTTAGACAAATGTAGAGTTGTGTTGTGACTGACTCTTACCTTCTCCCCCCCGTCCTCGAGGTCACCAGGGTCGGGACTATGGCTGTGCTGCTGTCTGGATGATGTGACCGACAGCTGCCTTTGGAGCCGTAGCACCTCCCTCTGAGACTCTCTGAGAAGCTTCTCAATTTCCACTCTGCCAGATGGAAGAGAGGAGCCCTAAACAGACATCACATGCATCAAAGACAGCCAAGACAATGTGATCATGTATTTATTACCATTATTTTAATTTCAGTTACACAGTGTTTGGAATCCCAACTTACTAAATAATTACATATTTACTGTGATCCAGTCCTATTTTTCATGCAATTTAGAACTGAATCACTGTAAAATATGTGTTTACATTTATAGGAAGTTATTAAACACTAAGAGTAACAGTCTAAGAGCACAGTCAGAAGGAATACTGTGTAACTTAAAACAAAAATGTATGGAAATTGAAACTGTCATGGAAATCTAAACATTCTGATTGGGACATTATATTTTAATGTTTAAAATTATTTTGACTAAAGCACTTTACCCTCCCTCTCTTGTTCTTATCACACAGTCATGCATTTTGGCTGAATAAGACATTCTCATAGAAGACACAGAAGAAGTGATGCAAAGACCATTCATTTTTAAACACAACAAACGTTCACATTCGGGAGAATCAGCTCTCAAGCCCCTTGCTCAGTAATTAAAAGCAGGCACTTAGAAAGACTGTCTATTCCTGCACTGTCATCTAGACATCAGCAGTGACACAGCCTTTCTATTAATGGCTTAGGAGGGAGGTAGGATGAGTAGTAGTAGTTGTTTAGTGAACAACCTGGTACTAAACACCAAAAAAACCAAAGAAATCATCGACTTCAGGAAGAGCAGGAAAGACCACGCCCCTCTCTCCATCAACAGAGAGAGCGTGGAGATGGTCTCCACCTTTAAGTTCCTGGGCATCCACATCGCTGACCTCTCATGGAGCACAAACACCAGGGCCATCGTGAAAAAGGCTCAGCAGTGGCTGCACTTCCTCCGGGTCCGGAGGAAAAACAATCGGCGGAAAAATTGTTGCTGGCCTTCTATCACATACACATACGGTTTGTGTGTGTGGTACACTGGCTCCACAGCGGAGGACAGGAAGGCTCCCCTGAGAGTGATCTCCACAGCATAAAAGATCATCCTGCCCTCCCTGGAAGAAATATCCACATCCTCAATAGGTTAAAAACCATAACTAGAGACCCCTCACATCCAGCCAGTCACCTGTTTGACTTGTTACCCTCCAGGCAGTGCTACAGATCAAATCACATACCACCAGACTCACAAAAAGCTTTTTCCCCTGGGCCATTAGAACTGCAAACAAACACAGACTCTGATGACACCCCGCACTCCACTCCACACACACACACACACATCTTCTCACAGCCACTGTAAGAACTATGCCTTCAGCTGTAAAGACAAATGGAGAACAGTTCAGCTGTAAGCCATCAGTTGTTAAAACAATACTTGCAGCAATACTACCATACCAGCGTAATAAGCTCAAGTTAAAAGCACTTGTTATTTTACACTGCACATTGTTTATACTGTTTTAGTAATTGTTTTATATATATAATATATATATATTGTTTTTATTGGACTCTGTTTTAGTCAGAGCGCACTAATTTCATTGCACATGATTGTGTAACTAGAGAAATGCATTTCCAGTCGAAAATGCGTGTGGATGCTGTGATGCTGAAGGACTGCCCTGAAAATTCCTGAAATCAATTGCTGAAACAGCTGAAGGATGAGTAGAAATTGCTGAATTTCTTTGTTAAAATAGTTGAGAGAAATGGCTGACCCAGAGGAGATGCTGTGTGTCTATAATCACTGATGCTCCCTGACACAGTGCTCAGTAATCTCACGTTCCCAGGCAACATATGCAGCTCAGGCTAGCATGTGTAGCTTTGGCAGGCTGATTAGTGACAGATTTTTTGCTCAATCCAGTAAAAAAAATTAATCATTGAAAGCTTAAAGGCATCTTAATGTTCTCTGATAGAGGTCTTAAGGCTGAGTGACTGAGAAGGGTTAGTGTCCAGTCTGAGTGGATAGATTGGCTGAATAACCATTCAGCGTTTCATCCATAATCACATGAGAAGGCCACTGAAGACAAATTGTATGTATCTGTGTGATTCATGGTATGAGATGAAGAACTAATGAAGATGAAATTATGACAGTGATGACCAGTCCTTTTGGCTTTGATGTGACATAAAACCAAATGATAAAATTACCTTTGATTTCACCTCACCCAATCCATTTCTGCCTGAGTTGTTTTCCCCTGTATCCACGGTAACCTAATTGGGGTAGTACAAACAAGAGGAGTGGGATTGTTGAGTTGAAATTTGTCGCAATTACTCGGAGCGACCTGTGTCCATGTGCTGACCAATCAGCTTCAACCTCTTAGGTACAAAAGAACATAGTAAACCACATAAATTGACCTGAAAGTGCCATTTCCACACACACACTCACACTTGCACACAAACAAAACAAAAACACAAGTACTCACCTAAAATTTACACCAAATAAACTATATCAGAGAAAACTAGAGAAATGCATTTCCTGTCATAAATGCATGTGGATGCTAATAAGCTGAAAGATCGTCCTGAAAATGCCTGAAAACAATTGCTGAAAAAACTGAAAGATGAGAAGAAATGGCTGAAGCTCTTTGTTGAAATAGTTGAGAAGAAATGGCTGAAGTTCTTTGTTGAATAATCTGAAGGATCAGATGCATTAAAGTAGGAATGGCCTTGAACAGCTGAACATTTTGATACCTGAATGGCTTTTCTAGCTGAAAGTATGCTGACCTTATTAAGATGTGAAAATAGTCCAATAGGACCCCCACAAAGTAGGTAAAACAAGTAGGTGTGAATGTGTGTGTGTGGGGGGGCACTCCAAGACTGTGTCAATGAATCAGCACTTTGAGCTCCCATTGACTTGTATTCCAAACAATAAAGCTGAATCAATTAAAAAGTATAAATGGTATAAAAAAGAAAAATACAAGCAGGGATGTCCTTGAAGAGTTGAACAGATAAATACCTCAATGGCCTGTATAGCTGAAAGTATGCTGGACTTATAGAGTGCCAAAAAAGGGTGGAAGATCCCAGAATAATAACTAGAAAAATGCATTTCCTGTCGAAAATACGTGTGGATGCTGTAATGCTGAAAAGGCTGAAATACCTGCAATCAATTGCTGAAACAGCTCAAGGATGAGAAGACATGGCTGAAGTTGAAATAATTGAAGGTTGTGAAAAAATAGCAGAAGTAGTCTGAAACAGCTGAAGCATGAGATGCAGGGCTGAACAATTGTGGAAGTTGAAAAAACGTGAATAACTATGAAAGCAAAAAGATGAATAATTACTGTATATAAGATTAAATCAAAAGCTGAAATTGTGTGTCAACAGGCCTCACAAAGTATGGAAAAAACAAAGGCAGAGAACATTTTCAACGCTATTGATTTGTTTTTGGACTCTGTGGGACTGCGTTGGTACAATTGTGTGGGGGTAACAACTGATGGCGCAGCTTCCATGACTGGAAAAAACTCAGGAGTTGTGATTTTCTTCAGGCTCAGTGAGACTGAGCCTAAAGAAAATCCTGGAGAGAGCAAGGAATGCAATGTGGACTCACTGCTTTCTTCACCGAGAAGCACTTGTGGCTAAGGATATGGTGCCAGTGCTTGATACAGCACTGAAAGATGCCATAAAA